TCTATCTATCTATCTATCTATCTATCTATCTATCTATCTATCTATCTGTCTACATATAGGTATGCTATACACATATACAGCTCACTGGACGTACACTGAGGAGAGGTCGGGCGCTGCTGACAGAGTGTGAACTCATCTTACACATGGCCTGGTAGTCGAACAAAGACACCCTGAGGAAACACCAGAAAATATAAGAAAAGCGTAAGGGGTTGCTCTTTTGTCAGTTTTTCCACAGACCATCTATTGATTCTGTCTAAGCGGAACATTTTTAACGATCCAGATAGTTATCGATGTAGAGACCAAAGTAAACTGAGAAAAGATTGTCACAGTGGAAATAAATACTTTTCTAGCATGGGCTTTGATTTTCTATTTACGTTCCTCTTCGAGAAGATACAAAAAGACAGGAAAATAATTGCACAAATAACAGATGATGTATATGCTATGAGCAACATTGTTAATGAAGGTCAAACAATGCCGACAAACAGTCAGTTACGTAATACTGTGTTAACTGAAGCATGACTAAATCTTTAAGCAGCATAAAAATAACACATCACTGATAAGATAAGAAGCAGAAAAAATGGGAGAAGCTTAAAGGGGAAAAAATGTAGAGCCATCACGCTCAGAAGGGAGTAAGACCCAGCAGCTTGAGTGTATCACAAGCACTGAGGTGGGTGGATGAACTACTTTGATCAAAGACAGGGAGCAGGTTAGGAGATGGATGGCTTTATATGTTACATATTTATAAATAAAAAAAACTATAAAAACCTAAAACAAAGAAATCAAACTCTGGTCCCTGATCATGAAGCTTCTTAGCTGATTGTGGCCCAGTATGTGGGTGACAAAAATGACATTAATCAGCTAGAACTAAATAGTGTGTATTGGGAAGCCCACAACAGTGGAAGCGCATCAGGAGGCTCTGGGTCCTGTCAGACCCACACAAAATAAAACAGAAACATCACTGTGTCATCAGCTCATTGGTCAGGCAACGATGACCAGGGTGTACCTTTTAAACATGCCCATTCTGATTAAAGTGGTCATCACCGATCCGTCAATCTCCCCGAAGAACCTTGCAGTCTGTCAGGAAGGAGAGAAAAAGAGAGAGAGGCACTCAGTTTGGCTCAATATGTTACATTCCTGTTCTGATAATCTGAGAGATGGAGTATCATCTCCCTTTTGTGATGTTCAGCCTCATCACTTCCTCCTAAATATGAACTGTATGATCTATTATTCATCCAGGTTATACTGTGGGCTGGTTTTGCTATCACGCACGATTTTGTTGAATAGAGACTGAAAATAGCTGTGCCTGCCTCAGTGTAAAGGTAACAAAATGGAGTAGCAAACAGTTTTGAAACTCTTAGCACATGAAAACATGGCTGTTTAATGAGCACTTCCTAAGTGATGGGCTGCTGACACTTCTTTGTATGAAAGTGAAGATTTGTCTCACTAGAGTCATAAAGCACACATGGATTTAGTGTAAAAGTTGATATGAATGAATTTATATTTTTTTAGCTTCAAAGATTAAAAAAGAAATGTAAAAGCTCACACTTAATAAGACTGAGGAGAAGTTTAAAAAATATGGGACAAGTTAAACTACTTCATATTGATCCTCTTGCTTGGAAAGAGTCTCCCATAAAACAATAATCAAATAAGCTATTTTATATCAAAGTGATAGATTCATGACGATGGATTTATGGGTTATTTCTTTTTATAGGATGTCTGTTAACAATGATACAGAGAAGGCAAAAAAGGACCTCTTATCATAGGTGACATTATGTGGGACTTAAATGTATAGTATAAATACTTTTCTAAATCATAGGCATGCACTTGTTTAGAGCCTTTCTCTCTTCTCTCCTGTAAAGTGATGGATACTGACATCTGGAAGAGCTCTCAAACAATCAAGTCAAAAACTAAAAAGCACTCCAGTTGTGGGATCTGTGTGAGTATGGGCATCATTGTGTGTGTATGTGTGTGTGTTTGAGCTTACATCACTGCGCTGTTTAGAAACTAGAACAAAGCCATTATTGTCAATCACGTAGCACTCAAGATCCTGATACAAGAGAAGGAAACAGAGAAACCAATTAGTTATGTAAGAAAAGATTTCTGTCAAACACCACTGACAAAGATAACACAGTTACATCAATAATTCATATAAGTCAAAGCGGGCATTATGACGTCACTTAAAAAATGACAGCAAAACCAGTAGGTTTCCTGTTTTTGTGGTACATACTGATATAAAGTACTTTTCAGCTTTGATGAGCATATTCAGCATATGATGATAAATTTAGGAGGTAGATTGGGATGTACACTCACATATCTGTCACAGCGAAGAGGACAAACCCCATCCACACTGGAGCACTAAGGAAAATAATGATGGAAAACAGAATCTATTTCACACAAAAGACAACAGTTCAAGAACAAAAGTCAGGGTTGGAGCCTATTGTGAATGCGATCGATGCGGGTTTGTGAAAGTGAAAGCATAGTGGAAGTCATGAGGGCATAATCTCAACACCTGCTCAGTGTGTGTAAGTGTTGACAAGTGTCTGAGCATATGTGGGGAAAAAGGCTGGTGGTGAGAAATTGTTAATTTGTGTGAAATGTGTCGTGTCTATCTTCGATCAACTCCTGAGTGTTTTGTTTGCAAGTTTGCACGGCTTTGTTTGTGTGGATGTGTGAGTAATGTGTTTATCTGGGGTGTGAAGCCGGCTTCGCAGAGCTCAGCAGGAGCTGGAGATGTTAACTTTGCTTCTGTAGAAATAGCACACAGTTGCTCTGGAGAATGAGGAAAGGGCAAAATTGTGTATACTCACATCTGTGTCATTTGGCTGGGGAAGGCACAAAGAAAGCAATAAAGAGAAAATGTGAGTTAAAAAAGAGGTACATTACTTCAGTTAATGATGTGCAAAGCAATGCAATGGAAAGACTGTCTCTGCTGCTATTTGCTGTTCATAAAGCTGTAGAAATGTTTTCTTCAGCTTCGTTAAAGAACTGAGTTTAAATTACACATGAAATACCTGAAATGCCACATTGGTTTAATGCTCAAACATGCGCACACTGTGCAAACTGTTCTTTATAACATTATATCTTGAATGGCTTGATGACGCATGGTCATTCTCTTACCCCAAACCATTAATGTCTCTCAGCCGCACAATGAAATATTCTTGTTGTGTTACTACATAAATTTTAGCGAAGTGGGTAAATTTGATAAAAGCAAAACTATAAACATTTGTTAATTATTTTACCAAACTGACAGTATATGAACCACTAGTACAATGTGGTATATTACAACTATAAGCAATGATGCAGGTGCTCAGTAGTGGTTTATGATGAATGGTGCAGTTGGCTCAGTTTCTCCATCGCTGAGCTGATCATAAGTCCACATTTTCCTGATGACCTTATAGTCATAGTTTTTTACTCCACCATAAAGTATGTGGATTGGTGTCTGTGGACAATGCACGATAGGAATCAGCAGCAAGATAAACAGAGCATGTCCAAGTGTGAATGAGACTATCTATCATTCTTCTCAATCCTATTACAGCAAAGTGTCAGTCTTTCTCTCTGCTTCCTATCACTGCCTCCTGGAATATACTACAATGCAGTGAACTGACAGATATGATGACAATTCTCCCACATACCACAGAGAAATGGAATAGCTTGACGAGGAAAGTTTGCTTGAGACCAGGTAGTTTCATTAATTCGTTCATAAGATTGGATCATGAGGGCCAAAAGCAGATTTTACATGATAAAATTAGTCACAATATTGTCCCAGTCATAAAAGTAACACCATCATTTTTGTATCTTTACCAGACATCAAGTGACATTTAAAAATGTTGATGCAATTCAGAAGTTTATTGGTGAAATGTGTTGCTTTCAGTTATTATGTGAAAGGGACTAATTTGGATTTTTAGATATTCTAGTTGATTGAATTATATTGGATTGCATTTTTAATTGCATGTCTTGTTCTGATTTGTTGCATTCTAGATAAACTTAATTGAGCTGAAAGTAAATTTCAAATATGCAATGACAATTATGCACTTTCATATCACTTTGAATTCTAACTTTTTAGAATAAGTCAGACAAGACCTCTGTTATTTAACAGACAGTTTTTTCCATGTAAGGCTTCTTTTTCATCCGAGTCCACCGAAAAGACCAGGCAGCGCTGCAGATAGTTTATATGATAGATATACTCCAAAGGAAATACAAGAGCTTTGCTGCTCCCACATCGCTTCAGTCATCATTTACCATCAGCTTTGATACGCCTTTCATTTCTTGACAGATCTTTGTCCTTTTTTTTCTGGCGTGGCTCACTTTTCATGACAAAGTTTGGTTCCTTTTCCTTTCTGACCCAGAACACATTTTAGGGTTTATGTTTTATTATCTTTAGGCCACTGCGGCAACTTTTTGGTCTGTTATGACTGCAGGTACACTTATTCCCTTTAACGTGCCTGCTTCCTGATGCTACACACATCAACAGGGAAATGACAACATTTCTTAAATTCATGGTTTGATATGTTGCATTCCTGCTGAATTAATAAAAAATGCTGATTCGTTCCTCAGTAATGTGACAAAAAAGAATGGAGAAAATAACCTAATTGCACTGATAAACTTTAATGTCAAATCACAACGGGTGATATACGGTGCAATCACAAACACAGCACAGGCAAAAGAGAAATGGCTTATCAGAGAATAAAAAAAAGATTGAGAGTCCTCTGTGTGATAAACGGCATGCCAGAGTGTAGATGGCAAAAAACTCATCATCTTTAGATTCCTATCACTATCACCTCAGAGCCCCTTACTGCGTCTACACTCAATGTCAGACACACACACGTGCTCTCACAGAAGAGCAGCAGAGCTCTGTCAGAGAGCCTTATCACAGGATTCAGACCCTATATTTAAAACATGATATGTCCTTAATCAAGGTGGGAGCATAAAGTATTGGCTCCCTATCTGATTTTAATGTCCTCACAAGGAAATGAGGGAACAACCAAATCTTGAATCTTTTTCAGTAGATGCAGTAGATTTCTCTTAGCTCCCCATCTTCCATTAGGATTTACAGTTGTAGCGATAACTTGACCCCCGAGGGAGCAGAACACTTAAAATAGACTGCAGAGAGCATAAGAAATGCATGCATGGACACATGTGCATCCAGAGTCAAAACAAGCACACAGGGGGAGTGCATCCACACACAAACGCCATGAAATAAAGATCAAGTACATGACAGGGAGACAAGATGATTATGTAAACTACCATAGGAGATAAGGAGAGATGGATAGGAGGAACCCACAGACACAAATAAAATGCACCGTTCAAAGACATGCATGCAGAAATAAGTATGCACTCACACACAAACACACATTCACACACACACTAGACAACTGCTGAGCCTAGCTGTGGTAGCTATCCATCACCTAATGGATAGCCAGCAGCCTTAAATGGCCTTTTAACTGCTGTCATTTACAGCCATAGAGGCAGTGGAGGAAAGAGACCCCACCATCAAACACCTGCTACAGAAAAAGTGTTACGCCAAATTAACCAAGTTCTTGCAGTTGGTGTGAAAGGTTACTACCATCGCTCTTCCAGTGGAGGTTCTGGATTTGTGTGCACAATATGCAAAATACACACTGAAGACAAACACAGGGTGACATTTAATCATTCAGTCTAATGTTTTGGGTGCGTTAAGCACTCCTTAATGGCAGGAGCAGTTGTGTGGAAAACACTGCATTAAGCCTAAATTCAATTAATTCTACAGGCTGTCAACATAATCAAGCACAGGAAAAAAGGTAATCATTTCTGCCATGTCTAACAATATTATATTATGTCAGAATCATGTAATAGTATAATGAAACATTGCAGAGACAAAAAAGAGCTTAATGTCTAGAAACCCAGTGATCATCAATAGCAATGTCTCTACAGCCTAATGGATGTGACACAAATTGACTTCAGTGAGCACGGCTTCAGAAAATTTAAAGAAACTGTCACCACTAATGGATAATACCAGCAATACATTATATTGATGCTGTTTTGACTCACCTGTGCTGCAATGGCCCAAAATTTGGATGCAAGTGCTTCCTGAGTCA